TACCCATGAACCTCCAAGTAGTCAAGTGGCTTGACCATCTACCAGCCCTTGAGTACGTTCAGCAGTTTGGGAGATTGCGTCCGAAAGCCCGATTCCAAAACGCTTCGGACGTAAATACTTCGAGTTTCGGATGTGGGCATTGACGTCTCAGGTTCACTCAACCCTCGATAGCTTCTTCATGCAGGTTTCAGGCCCAAGGCTTCACCAGTCGACAGTGTTGGCAGGTCCCAGCTGCACCGAGATGAATAGCTTTCTCACGACGACCGCCTCTCCCACGAACGATTGGGCATTGGTCATAGGACCATTTTGGGAGTGAGACGCGGCCCGGGTGATCAATAGTCGAACTGTGATTCCATTTAGTCCTTTTGTCGAGGGCGAATTCCTCGTGCTACTCCTACTACCGCGACTAGCTTTACGGACATTGCCGGAACTGCCACTGCCACTACGACGACGATCATAGTTGACATGCCGGTGGTGCTGGGGAAGTCGTGCTTACACGAAACCCGACCACGAGACCTAGAAATCTCTAAATGAAGACTTGTGGATAGAGCACGAGAGTTGCAAAACCTTAGATGATAAATCTATACATGGGCACAAACAACTTTCCGGGCCCCACCAAAACATCTGCGTTGATACCTATTTCCCATGTATGTATGTATGTATGTATGTATGTATGTATGCATGCTTGTATACATGTACGTATGTAAGTAAGTATGTACGTAACGACTTGGGCCTTGAGCTTCGGAGTTCAGTCCCCTTGGCCCCCCCTCCCCCCTCCGCCCTTCGTGGAGCATGATGCCCTCCGCACGTGCACTGAAGGCTGCAGGCCCTCGTAACTTGTGGGGAGGGGGGTCCTGAAGGCCTACTCGCCGAGACGCATAACTTCCCGTCGGAGCCACCGAGTGCCATCTTTGGACGCTCAGGGTTCCAAGCCAGGCATAAAACCTGAGGCCAGGGGCCAGGGGTACTAGAGAGTTTAGGGCTTTAGTGTGTAAGTTAAGTAGCTGGGTGGGAGGAGCGGTTTATGATGTTTGAGTCTTTGAGACTTCTGGGGACGTCGACCGGTTGGCAGCTCGATGATAATTGGGTCCTGCTTTATGACTTGCCGCTGCCTCTTGAATCTTGTGTCTTACGTATTATGTCAGGCCTTGAGGATGCTTGAGTTTTGCTGATACTTGGCTTTGGTCTTCGGGTTGTAGACATTTTGGGTAACGGGGCCGGGGCTTTGCATGAAGGATGATTGACTTCGAAGCTGGTCTTTGTGCTCAGAAAAGATGGTGAAGGTTGAGTCTGAGGCTCAGGGGAAACGGCTTGGGCTTACGTCTTGCAGGGTTCACGGGCACGTGAACTTCAGTTCAAGCTTTCGGGCTGTAGCAGAAACAGTACGGAGTATCGCCCTATCGCCCATGGCGCAAACAAGTCAAGCAATATCAAGTAACTAACCACGGTTGTATATAACATTTAACGCATCGCAAGCACAGTACTCGAGTTTTAATCTGGCCGGCCGACTTCGCAGAAGTCGGCTGTCGGGCTTCAACCTCGAGGATCGCTGAGAGTGGGAACAAGGGCCGGTAATACTGCAGCCCAAAGCTGCGACTGCCCTAAGAAAGTCCGACAACTGTAATCCTCAGGCATCAGTCCCAAGAAGCTTAACATTCAAACATGCTTCGCTCCACAAATGCAGAAAGTTTGCAGGACAGCTGTGCGCGAAAGTCTCCCTGACCGTCCGCGTGCTCACCTTGAACAGTTGGGAGTGTCAGAACATGAGGGACCCTGCGCAAGACCCGAGATACATGGACCAAAGCTACGCTTAAGTGGAAAGACATCCCACATTTGGCTTGCAGGGATGTGTCGGGCCTCGGTAAGATCTCGGTGGTTCGGGAACTGGTGTAATTAAGTCAGGTATACGGTATACTATGAGGATTACCATGCGATTTGGGGAACCTTGTTTGTTGTCCTGATATTACGGGCCCTGCGGATGGCCTAGTGCTTATAGTGAAACTACACCCCCGGGCTAGCAAACAACACGGCAATTGCCGATCACGACTTTCTCAGCTATTGAACTCGAAATCGTGAACCTTGCAGGCCCCTAGCCCTAGGCTCGAAGTTGAACTGTAAAATTATAGACCTCGCAGCCCCCAAACCCCAAAATCGTGAAAAATCCTAAACCATACATGGGTTGTAAACACCGAAGCTTGCAAGCCCTAAACTCTGAACGCCAGGACCCGAAAGCTTCCAAGCCCACCCAAACATTCAATTCTAACCCTATAAGCAAGCAAACCCTAAAGCAAATCCGCATCCATAAACCGTATCAGCCGAAAACCTCGTGGCCTATCACACAAAGCTCTGAAGTCTCGACAGATCTCCTTGCCTAGGAGGGCCATGATGGGAAACAGCTGTACCAAGAAGCGCTGAACATCCGCACTTTCCCGTCTTTGGAGCCCGTGGCAACTTCTGCCTGCAGCAGGAATCACACAATTGGGTATGAGAAAACACTTCTTACACACTTAGGGTTCGATGCTTTGGCATTTCGGCTGTAGTGTTGGCACTTGTGTCAATGGCTTGCAGGACTAGGATACCACGTAAGGGTTCCGTCGTGGTTCCAACACTTGAGGGCATACTTCGCAGGCGGCCGTATGTTGGGAGAGATTTCTATTGCTTCGGGCACATAGCTTGAAGCTGAACAGGAAACCCAACTCCTCGGAATCTCGCCATGCACAGAAGGGCCCCCCGTCCCAAGACCCCCCCAAGACGACCTCATCTGGACTCCAGGCCACCACTTGCGCGGTCCAAGGATGCTCCAGGGCTGCCTCGGGCTGGCTTGGGATGCGGTGGTCCTGGTGGTAGTGGTAATGGTCGCGGGAGTGGCAGTGGCAGTGGCAATGGTAGATGGTGCAAGCATTAGCAGTAGCAGTAGCAGTAGGAGTAGGAGTAGTAGTAGTAGGAATAGTAGTAGTAGTAGTAGTAGTAGTAGTAGTAGTAGCTGTTGTTGTTGTTGTTGTTGTTGCTGCTGCTGTTGTTGCTGTGGTCGCTGCTATTGTTGCTGCTGTTGTGGTTGTTGTTGCCTTTGCTGTTGCTGCTGCTGTTGCTATTGCTGTTGTTGTTTGCTGTTGTTGTTGCTGCGGTTGTTGTCGTTGTTGTCGTTGTAGCTGTAGTTACAGCTGCAGTCGTTGTCGTTGCTGGCGGCGGTGGTCATGTCATCGTCGTCGTTGTCGCCTCCATTGCCGTCGTCGTCGCTGTCGTCGTCGTCGTCGCCTTCGTCGTTAGCCAGTGAGCCACCATTAGGTGCACAAAACACTCGCAGTCGCCAAGACAAGTTTCCCCGCTACCTCGCATCTGCAAGCCCAAGCCTTCAAGCAAAGCCAGGAACTGGAGGGCCTAACTGGGCCGAACTAGTGATGCTTCGTCTTGTAAACAGCCACGCATTTGGGATCATCCAGCGAGTCCTCAACAACAACCCGCAAAGCCCTGTAATGCGCTCTCAGACTCTGCAAGGCTCCTGTTTATGCAGCCAGGGAGTTCCAACAACACTGACAACACTGCAATGAAACGTTTACTATGACCAAGATCCCCTAAAGCTAAACTCTGAGACCATAATCTACGTAAAACTTTCAACGCCAGAAGGTCAAAGGTACCTGCACCTATACGTTACAGATTGCGAATGCCTTAGTCGAAGGTGCCTCACTGAGGTCGTCTTGTGGCCCTGCGAGAAGGAGCCTGCCGGCCGTAGGATTTGGGGCTCTTCGGGTTGAGGGTCTGGCGGCACCCTCAAAACCCTTTCTTTAACCGAAATCCTGACATTTTACGTTCGAAGCTTTAGGCACCACTTTGCAGTTGTCGCAGGGCTTTCTGGTTTCGATAGAGGGTTGTGGGTTGGTGGTGGTCTGTAGGATCGACAAGGCTTTACGGGGCTTCTGTTCAAGCTGGAGATTACGTGTTGACAACCCAGGAAACTCGAAGGTTTAGAAAGCTTGGCAACGTGCTGACTCTTACATCCGTAGGGTGCTGGAGCGTGGACAGCTGAGGGTCATGAGTCATGATTCTACGCAATGCCACGCAGCCGCAAAAGCCATGAACCGTTCAGAAGGTCTTGACCGCAGGCTGAGAAGACGTGAGTAAAATTGCAGATTGCCGAGAGCAACATGTCAAACACGTGAATGTCCAGAAAATCACGAGATCTTAGCCAAGCGCTGGAGACTTGTTCTCCTCCGGCGGAACCCAACAATCTAAGGTAGAACCCATGGGCCCCTAGTATGGGCCCTTAACCCTGAGACCCTAATATACCTACTATATACCCTATATATAGTACATACCTTTAAGGGACCCTAGAATCGCCTAAGGGCTCATGTTAGGGGCCCATGGGTTCAACCTTAGAAACAACGAAGCCTAAACCAAAACCGACATAAAAAGCCAGGCCATGGAACTCTAACTACGCCCTTCCAAACCCCCAAAGCCTCCAAGCTCCAAGAATCTACCCATAGGCCCCATAGTAGTTCCTTTTTGGGGCTCATATCTAGAATCCTATAAAGTACTCCCAAAAAGGAACTATAGTAGTTCCTTTTGGGGTTCATATTTAGAATCCTATAAGGTACTCCCAAAAAGGAACTACTATGGGGGCCTATGGGTACATTAAGTGCCCATGGATTTTCTTGGGGAGGCCTTCGGCTCTTGAGCCACAGCGCCACAGAGCCGGAGGCGCCGAAAGCGGCACACTCTGCACTGTGCCTCCGGAGGGTTTAGGGTTTAGGGTTTAGGGTGGAGGGTTTAGAACATTTCGCAGTCTGGAAATTCCAGGGTTTAGAGCGCCAGTCAGGATTTGCGGTTTACGGCATAGAGTTTATGCTTTCAGGGAAGAGCTTAGATGCTGAGTTCATAAGCCTAGAAAAGTGTACACTTTCAGTTTTAGAGTAGGTAATATTATCCAAAAAAGTGTAAAGTGTATCCACTCAGCTGTTGAGAGAGAGAGAGAGATAGTGCGATAGGATCGGATCCAGACTGCTAGATGCTGGGTGCCGTTGGCAAAGCCGAGACCCCGCAAGTACCGAAATGATCGCCGTCAACCCATAATGGCCAGGTAGCCCATGTGCTAGGTCCTGCTAGGTGTTTGAGTGTGAGGACTGTGCTGCATTTGCCTTCGCAGTATGGTGCGTCGTTGATTCAGTTGACCCGCAATTCAGAACAACTCCAATGTGCTGGAGAAACACCCTAAACCCCGAAACCTTGACCACAAAAGAAATCTAATCCCGGAACCCCTCAATCGACCTCTAGATGCATTAACCAGAGAATTCGAAACGAGGAGCGGAAGGGCAGTTCTCTGTGTCTGCTGACCGTCGATTCGAATCACATGCCCGGCAGTGGCAAGACCTCAGTTTTGGGCTCCGGTTTGGGGCTGGGCGGCAAGAGCTTGTGCTCGAGGGTTGAGGGCAAGTTGATGGATTGTGGTTCAGGGTTGAGAGGGCATCGTGAAGGTGTAAGGATTGGGCTGCGAAATAGAAGCGAGGGCCCAGATAATCGGAATCAAGGTTTTGACTCATACCATTCGGTTGCAATTGGTATTCGGCTAGTATGTCGAATAGTCAAAGTCGCCAGGTAGCAGTACGAAAACAAGCCCGGTGCTTGCAAGCACGCGGCACAGCTGCCCAGAGAGCCAGGAAACACAAAGCAGCGGGCCGCCGTGTTGGGAGACCTCCCGGAGACTAGGCGGATTTGGCAAATTTGTACATTCCTACAAGGATGCCGCGTTGCGGATTGTGATAAGTGGAAAGGTCTCTTTGAAGGGATTTTGGGTTGACAGTCTGCAGTGGGGCGTCTGCCAGAACTCGCGAGACTCGCAATGTCCGTGCAATGGTCCACGGCAAGTTTCTTGGATGCGTTGTGAGAAGGCAGATTGATACACAATGCAGCACTTCAAAAGGAGCAAGCAGGGATTCAAGACACCTTCTGATTCCGGGCATTCTAGCAGAAAAGCATGCCTAGAAGCACTGTATAGGTTCACGAGGTTCCGACGGTTCGGGCCATGATGACGATGATGACGATATAGATTGCTTCTGTGTCTTTCCACCATCATAGCCATGTCGTCTTACAGGTGTTTTGTCATCGAAGACCCCGATCCCTAAACCCTAACCCCGCATGTAGTCGGCCTTGACATCTGCCGGCACGAAGCGCGGTCCGGAGGCACGGGGCGTCTGCCGAGGGGTCTGCGAGCTTTGGCTGCCTGTGGTCTTCCTGAGTGCTTCTGTGTTTGGTTTTGGGAGGAGTTAGGGCCCTTAGAGTAAGACGGAATTGTTACTCGGAGAAGCAATCCTTTGGCGTCATAGACTTACCCTTGTATCGAGCCTGCGCACTGCAACGTCATGCGGAGAGTCTTGGCAGCCTTTGCATGATTTGGTGGGCTTGAAGGTCTCAGCGACTCATCGGTGAAGTGCAGTTGTTCGAGGCGCCGACTGGTAGTCCAAAGTACTTATGAAGGCAAGTGCTGGTTAAGCCCAAACACCTCAGCCCTACACCCCTCAACAGTGATGCTTTCTCCCTCCTCATGAAGCGCTTAGGGATTTTGGATTAATGACGTGTTCTGGGCTTGGGCGCAAAGATGCTGGGCCCAGGGTTCCAGGATAACTGCAACCCCATACCTCGCAACGTAATGCCTCCAGAGTGGCATCCGCGCCGGGCTGCGAATCAGCTTGTTTGCGGTGATCCGTTTGTAGGTCCTGGGCCAAGAGTAGGAAAACCTCGCGAATGTGTAGCGACATACTCGAGAAAACGGTGTGAAGGGAGTACGAGATGTTTGCGTACTATAGACTTCAGACTTCGGGCTTGAGCGACTTCTGCATGGGAACATCGCCCAGTTACGGAGGAATCTATTTTAGCAGCTCTGTTACTCCTCGAAGGCTTATAAGCCTGGCAGCAGTGTGCTTAAACTTTAACACCGTCGACAGGGAACCGCGGATCCTCGAAACATAGCCGAAGTCTCTGCGTTTCGGCTCTTACTAGTAGGGCTTCAAGGGGGGTTAAGTGTCGGTGGCATACGGGTCTGCGGACAATGTGATGGATGGGGTTCCGAATGGAGGATTGACGGCGAGGCGGGACGCTCAGGGGTTTCAAGATGAGCCACATACACCGGTCCCGCCACGGACTTGAGCTGGCATAAGCCTGTTAACAATCACCTCTGTGTGCAGGGCCCGGCTACAATCCTGAAGGCGAAGTCATGCAGGATTCACGGAGATCTTTTCGCTGCAGGAGCCTCCTTAAGGAACTTGGTTGAACGGGCTCAAAGTCAGGTTGACTAAAACTTCCGACGAAAAAACACAACTTCTATTTAACTCGAGAGAAGGTTGGTGCACAGAGGCGTAAGGCTAACGAACGACCCTGAAGCTCGACCGAGTGTCACCACAAAGCGTGGGTACGTCTGGTTCGCACGATACCTGAGCTACGCCCATGCAACACCTGCAGGCACGCTTCCAGGCCCTCTTCGTATGTCCAGAACACATCAGCAGAAACTTAGAATCAGTCATGCGCACGGGCTCTAGGGGGCAAAGGCTTGTTGACAAGGCCCCAAAGCCGCAAATTCGCATTTCGGCGGTTTCGAAACTGAGTCCAGGTACATGACGAAGAGACGCGATTCATTCGGCCCTCGCCCGCTCTTTGCCGGGGTGTGCGGCCCACCGACAACGCTGTCGTAGCCTTAGGCGATGCCGCTGCAAGCTTCAATCCGGGAGCTTGGGTGGCATTTTCATACACAAGGGCGGTGCCGGGAAGACGACTTTGTCTCAAGCTGTACACGGCTGGAACACCCTTTAGGCCGCACGCCGCTTCAACCATCAAAAAACAATTTCAGGGTTTGGCGTGTCAGGCTACGAGTAGGGCCTTCGGTTTTAAGGCTTTGTCCATGCTCCATTTCGGGAGAGCTAGACGGGGAGCATGACTGGTGCTGGTGTGTCTGTGGGTAGTGTGTGTATATGTATATGTATATGTGCATTTTATTTGTCCTTATATAGCTAGAAACATAAATTACACATATAAACATATATATATATATACATATTACAAACACATATGTATACATATATACATATGTGTTTATACATAGTTGTAATGATATGCATATACATACATACATACATACATACATACATACATACATACATACATACATACATATATATGATTATATATGTGTGTCCAGGATTCTCCTCCTCCCCCCCTCTGTGGGGTGTCGTTGGTGGTTGCGGGG